GTCCACCCACGTTGCTGCAAATGGCAAGATTTCATTCTTTTTTATGGTTGAATAATATTCCATATATATATACATGAATAATCTTGGAGTAATATTAATACATATATATGCATATATATATTCATATATATATGCTACCTCTTTTCTATCCATTCATCAATAAATGAACATTGGGTTGTTTCCATAATTTGGCTGTTATAGATAATGCTACTATAAACATAAGGGTGCACTTATCCCTTTGATTCAGTATTTTTGTATTCTTTGTGTAAATACCTAGTAGTGCGATTACTGGATCACAGGGTAGTTCTACTGTTTTCTACAGTGGCTGTACAAGTTTGCATTCCCACCAACAGTGCAAGAGGGTTCCCCTTTCCCGACAGCCACACCACTACCTGTTGCTTCTTGTTGATTTTAGCCATTCTGACAAGTGTGAGGTGATATCTCATGGTAGTTTTGATTTGCATTTCCCTGATGATGAGTGATGTTGAGCATCTTTTCATGTGTCTCTTGGCCATTTGTATGTCTTCTTTGGAAAATTGTCATGTCTTCTGTCCATTTTTTAATTGGACCCTTTGTTTTTTGGGTATTGAGTTTTAGAAGTTCTTTTATATATTTTGGATACTAACCCTTTATCAGATGTGTCATTTGCAAATAACTTCTCTCATTCCATACATTGCCTTTTAGTTATGTTGATTGTTTCCCTCACTGTGCTGAGGCTTTGTGTTTTGATGTAGTCCCAACAGTTTATTTTTGCTTTTGTTTCCCTTGCCTCAAAAAAGTTGCTACAGCCAATGTCAGAGAGATTCCTGCCTGTGCTCTCTTGAAGGATTTTTATGATTTCAGGTGTCACATTTAGATCTTGAATCTCTGTTGAGCTTATTTTTTGTGTATGGTGAAAGAGAATGGTCCAGTTTCACTCTTTTGCATGTTACTGTTCAGTTTTCCCAGCACCATTTGTTGAAGAGATAGTCTTTCCCATTGGATATTCTTTCCTGCTTTGTTGAAGATTAATTGACCCTATAATTGTGAGTTTATTTCTGGGTTTTCTATTCCATTGATGTATGTGTTTATTTTTGTACCATACTGTTTTAACTACTACAACTTTGTAATATAAATTGAAATCTGGAATTGAGATGCCTCCAGCTTTGCTTTGCTTTGCTTTTCAAGACTGCTTTGACTATTCAGGGTGTTTTGTGGTTCCATACAAATTTTAGTATTGTTTGATCTAGTTCTGTGAAGAATGCTGTTGATATTTTGATAGGGATTGCTTTGGGTAGTATAGACATTTCAACAATATTTGTTTTCCCAATCCATGACCATGGAATGTTTTCCTTTGTGTGTGTGTCATCTCTAATTTCTCTCATCAGTGTTTATAATTTTCAGAGTATAGGTCTTTTACCTCTTTGGTTAGGTTTATTCCTCCATATCTTCTTATATTTGTTGCAATTGTAACGGGCTTGATTTCTTAAATTCTCTTTCTGCTGTTTCATTATTGGTGTGTAGAAATGCAACAGATTTCTTGGTGCATCTTACTTTTTACAAGCTGCAATTCCTCACCTTGTCTCTTCCTCCATTTATTTTCAAAATCAAGGAAAATCTTTGATGATTAGAAATAGTTTACAATCTATATTTTAGTACCTATGATTATTACAAAACATTCCAGTGTTTAAAAATCCTTAAGCATAATCTTTCATTTGCTGATATTAGACTCTTCATGAAAGGCAAGCCCAACCCTAAATTACTAAATCATTATCATCACAAAATGAAAACCTGATATTTTGGTGTCTAACTCAAACAGTCAAAAATTCCCTCTATTTTAGTAATGCTAAATTTTTTTCTAGATTATTTCACTGAGTCATTCAATAATGCACCAGAAATATTACATATAAATGGTATATATAAACACATATACACACATATAATAGTGTGTGTGTGTGTGTGTATTAGACTCTATGTAATATACCAATACAGTAATATAATACTCTATATAATATATACTGTATTCCTTTACAAGAACAATGTGAGACAGACTCAAAGCCCCAAGATTCTCTGTCTCTGGAAGAACAAAAAATATTAATACATAAAGACACAAAAAGGATGTGTCAGGATCTGGTGAAAGGGTAATTTGTGTTCTCATTTCTACTCTATCTTATAGAATTTTTTCTTGGGGTTATAATAATGTGTTTTGAGAAAGTATCTCTATGGAAACTTCAATTATTATTCTCACATACACACTTTGCTCACTCACCCACCTCCTTACGCATCTTCAAGATGGAGGGCAGAAACCACAAAAAGACCCCATATCTACTGACTGTGATTAGTGAGAGAGGGAGGCTGTGCCCCAGCACATACCCTCCTGAGTGGAGAGCCCTGTGAAACCCTAAATGCAATTCGCTGAGCAGCAAGCCAAGAGTACAGTGCCTTAAATGAACAGATCAAGCTGCCACACAAAACCCACACTTCTGCCACTTGCAAAAAAGCTGGTATAGGCTCTTGGGCACGAGTCTTACTGTCCCTGCTGTGAGATGGCTTAGCAAAGTTACCTTGCCAGCAGTCACTTAAGCTGCCAGTAGTTGGAAAAGAAATGGGATGAAGAGAGTGCTTTCTTCTATCTTGGCCTTACTGAGATACTGTTAATGTCTCTCTGGAAGCAAACTAGAGAATTAAATACCTTTGTTAATTTTTTTGAGCCAGAATTTAAAGCAAAATACCCTTCACCAAGATATTTAGAGAAAAGCTATTTGGGAGTTAGGAACTATTATGGGATCAATTGTGTCCCCCCAAAATTCATATTCTGGAGTCCTAACCCGGTGCTGCAGATTGTCATTGTATTGGAAGTAGGTATTTAAAGTGTTAATTAAGTTCAAATGAGGTCTTTAGGTGGGTCTTAATCCAATGTGACTGATGTCCTTATAAGAAAATGAGATTAGGATACAGACATACACAGAGGAAAAAAAACAAACAAACAAACCCATGTAGAGACACAAGAAGCTACATAGCCATCTACAAGTCAAGGAGAGAGGCCTGAGAAGAAAGCAATCTTGCAGACACCTTGATCTCAGACTTCTAGCCTCTGGAGCCATGAATTTCCATCATTTAAGGCACCCAGTATGGCAACTCTGGCAAGCTAATATGGGAATAGTTTACAAAAGGTAAAAAAGTCAGATCATGACCTTAAACTCAGGTCTAAAACAGCTTCCCTCTTCAGCATATCCTCCCACACTCATCTAGGTATGATTACTTACATTTTTGGTCTGGACAGGCCATCCCCTGATTGGTTCCAGCTGTGAACCAAACCTGGTACCTAAACACCATATTTGAGTTCTCAGTCCACATCTCTGAATTCCAGACCTGCTGGCTGCATTACCCTTATTGGCCTTCCAAAGTTGGCATCCAGGACTCAGCACCCAGATCCTGCTGTACACTCATAATCCATTGCTACCTCCGCTGAGGGCTAGCTCTGGGTTTGGAATCACAGTTGTATTCTTTGTTCCCCTGACAGTTCCTCAAACCTGGGAAGGGCAATATGGTGGGCAATGTAAGCTCTTTCATTCAGCCATTCTGAAATTCGCCCCACAACAAATTTAAAATGTAAATTGTAAAGTTTACATCATTGTCTGAGCCTCAGAGAAAGGAGGACCCTTTACATCCAGAAAATTTTTACAAAGCTGCTCTGTTGCACACAGTCTAGATGATCATAGAGGCTACTGGAAGTCACTTGAGAAATGGAATAGGCGGTGAACAATTAGGTTTCTCAGTTTAAAATCAATCCCTTATTGCTCTTAATACCAATCAGAAACTTGTTTACAAAGTGCTATGACGGTAATAATATAAATTGCTGTTTGTTAAATCTTTTTTTTCTTTGTTGGACAGTTCAAATCTATTCTTTTTCCTTAAGATTGTTGGCACTCTTAGTTGTCACTGAAAAAAACTTATTCCTATAAATAAATACGGGTTTTTGTAATATGCTTTTATGCTATTTTCAGAAAAATGAGATAACTATAGACATTTCCACTTTTTATTCAATGTTCAACCCTCATTAGAAGGAAAAGTTGTAGGAAAGGAATAAATTCCTTTTAAAACTTCACATAACTTTCCTTTTGGTCTGTTTCAAATAGTAATGGACCTAGTTAAAACAGGAAGCTCAGGGTGATGGCTGGCTTTATCAAGAATGGTACATGAGCAAAGAAAATTTAAAGAACTTCTTAAATAGCCAAATCCATGTCAAGTGGCTCTTGTGATCTGGAGGGAAGGGAAGCTTTGGTGGGAAAAAGCTGAGAAAGGTTTCTCTTACTCCAAAAGGCTTTCCTAGGCATTGGAAGAAGGAGGAAAAAATGTACTTTGTTGTGTTATTTATAGAAAATACTTATATCTAGATATTTCAATTAGTTTTTTAAAGTACAAATTTCCCATCAATGTCTGTTCAAGAGTAGAATAATTATATTAGACTTAAGAATTTTATTTTTAAAATCAAGTAAAAAATGACACCTTGGGGGGCGCCTGGGTGGCGCAGTCGGTTAAGCGTCCGACTTCAGCCAGGTCACGATCTCGCGGTCCGTGAGTTCGAGCCCTGCGTCAGGCTCTGGGCTGATGGCTCAGAGCCTGGAGCCTGTTTCCGATTCTGTGTCTCCCTCTCTCTCTGCCCCTCCCCCGTTCATGCTCTGTCTCTCTCTGTCTCAAAAATAAATAAACATTAAAAAAAAATTAAAAAAAAAATGACACCTTGGAAAATAGAATTTTTATTTTTATCTTAAAGCAAGCTCAGTGTAGAGGTGCCTGTTTACAAACTTTCTCCATTTAATTGGTTTTCTTAATATGAAATAGTATTTCCAGAACTAATTAAAAATTTATTCTAATGAATTTTCAAGACCAAAATATGTTATCTTTGCAGTACAGTATATAGATTTTTAAATCATCCATGAAGGTAATTATATTTTTTTACATTCTTAAAAAGTCATATATTGTTATTGATGCCAAATGGGTTGTTTGCTTTCTCTCAGGCCATGATTGAAGAAGCCATCACCAGAGCAGAATCTTTCTCAGTTATGTATACACCATTTGCAACAAAAATCAGAGCTGATAAAATAGAAAAAGTAAGAGAGGTTTTCACAAAAACTCATCCTGCATATGTGGAATACATCTACACAGGTAATATTCAAGTTGTCAGCTGCTAGTTTGTTTCCATTAATAAAATGGGTCATTTCTGCTTTGTTTGTTTATTGTTTCAGTTTTAGGAGTACATTGCTATTGGTGGTGGGTTTGGGTTTTTTTCATTTTATTGTATTTTTTTTTCATCATGATAAGTATACTTTTCAATCCCCATCACCACCCCATTCTCCCACTCACCTCCCCTCCAGTAGCCAGCAGTTTGTTCTCTATAGTTAAGAGTCTGTTCTCGGTTTGCCTCTCTCTTTTTTTCCCCTTTGCTCATTTGTCTTGTTTCTTCTATTTCACATATGAGTGAAATCATATGATATTTATCTTTCTCTGACTGACTTATTTCGCTTAGCATAATACTGTTTAGCTCCATCCATGTTGTTGCAAATGACAATGTGAGTGTTGCAATGTAAGTGTCATTGCAAGTGACAAGTAAGATTTCACTCTTTTTATGGCTAAGTAATATTCCATTGTATTCTGTATCCATTCATCAATCAGCGAACCCTTGGGCTGTTTCCATAATTTGGCTATTGTAGAAAATGCTGCTATAAACATCAGGGTGCATGTATCCCTTTGTATTTTGGGGATAAATACCCAGTAGTGCTATTGTTGGGTTGTAGAGTAGTTATATTTTTAATTTTTTGAAGAAACTCCATACTGTTTTCCAGAGTGGCTGCAGCAGTTTGCATTCCCACCAACAGTGCAAGAGGGCTCTCCTTTCTCCACATCCTTGCCAATGCTTGTTGTTTCTTCTATTTTTTTATTTTAACCATTCTGAGAGGTTTGAGGTGATACTTCATTGTAGTTCCGATTTGCATTTCCCCCTGGTGATAAGTGATGTTGAGCATCTTTTCATGTGTCTCTTGGGCATTTTTTGTCTTCTTTGGAGAAATATCTGTCCATGTCTTCTGTTCATTTTTTATCGGAATATTTGTTTTCTAGGTATTGAGTTGTATCAGTTCTTTATATATTTTGGACACTAACCTTTTACCATATATGTCGTTTGCAAACATCTTCTCCCATTCAGTAGGTTGCCATTCAGTTTTGTAATTGTTTCCTTTACTGTACAGAAAACTTTTTTTTACATAGTTCCAGTAGTTTATTTTTACTTTTATTTCCCTTGCTTCAGGAGACCTATCTAGAAAAAAGCTGCTATAGCCGATGTCAGAGAGATTCCAGCCTATGCTCTCTTGAAGGATTTTTGTGCTTTCAGGTCTCACATTTAGGTCTTTAATCCCTTTTGAGTTTAATTTTGTGTATGGTAAAATAAAGTGATCCAGTGTCATTCCTTTTGCATATGGCTGTCCAGTTTTCCCAACACCATTTGTTGAAGAGACTGTCTTTTTCTCATTGTATATTGATTTCTCCTTTGTCAAAAATTAATCGACCATATAATTATGGGTTTATTTCTGGATTTTCTATTCCATTCCTTTGATCTATGTGTCTATTTCTATGCCAGTACCCTGCTGTATTAATTACTACCGCTTTGTAATACAACTTGAAATCTGGAATTGTGATACTTCCAGTTTTGTGTTTCTTTTTCAAGATTGCTTCAGCTGTTTGGCGTCTTTTATGGTTCCATAAAACTTTTAGGATTGTTTAGGAGGACATTGTTTTAATCTGATGAGTTGAAACAGGAGGTTATTTTAAGGTTTTAAGTAGAACTAATCCTATGGATCTAGCACAATATTCCTTGTACCATGATGATTCTATGCGTGAAAAGGAGAAACCCTAAGACTTTTTTAAATGAAAAAATAACATGTGATAAAATGCCACCTTTCCCCATACTCTTCATTAGTAAACTAGATGAGTATATTATTTTCCTAAAGATGGATTTTTTTCCAGTGCTATTTCTACTCTCCTTCCATCTCTCTCACACTTCAAACCTCCCTCTTTCCTTATGTTCTTGGATCACTGATATCCCAATGAGATCTGGATGGTCAAGTGTACGTAGAGGACACAACATTAGTGTTATCCTTTTTTCCTCATTTTGTCTTTGGAAGCCACTTGCTTTTATTAATTCATTCAAAATACTTTTTAGTATCTATTATGTGCCAGCTATTATTCTGAATTAAGACAAAGATTTTCTTGTACAAAATTAAGAGTCACTCAACAACTACCACGTTGAGGCGAAATCTCTAGATGCACATACCTAATATCTCATCTTCCTATTAAGGGCCTTTCAGTTCCTTTTTTCATGGCTTTGGGGCCAAGTCACTGATTTATATGATTAGTAATGCACTCTGTTAGTGATCACTTTTAAGGTGCCAGGCATTCTACGTTTATTATCTCTTGTTATTCCCAAATCTTATGGAGTAAGATGATTCTTACTTAGAAATAAGAGAACAACAACCAGAGAAAACAAATAGCTTTTCCAAAGATGCACAGCAAATCACTGGTGGCAGGCCTTTGATTTGAACCCATGTCCTTGCCATTGAGCTATACCATTGCCATCTGATAGGAGCAGAGGTGTGATAGAAGCATTAAATTTAGGTTCTATATAGTCCTTGTTTTCTCCATAGTATCTCAAACTCTGTGGAGGAAAGATATTAAGTAAATCTAACTAGTGATGATTGAATAATGAATCTCTAAAGAACAATGAGAATTTGAGGGCAAGGAAAAGGAAGAGAAAATACAGTGCATGCTATAATGACCATTGATGCTGATTTACTTAGTGTGAGCATTTTGTAAGGAAGTAAATACAAATGTTTCAGAATTCACATTTTCTGCTAATTGTTATAAATCATTTATTATTTTGTTATGGATATGTTAAGAGTTTTGGGAGGAGTGGCTTTAATAGCACACAAGAGTCATGTCAATCTAGCGTCATGGAAAATGAATCGAATTCAGCTATTTCCATTTCTATTCTTGGATCCATTGGTAATGAAGAGAAATTCATTGAAGATCACCTGTATGACAACTGCTCTACTGGTAGAATGAATTTAGTTATATTTAACCTACTTCACAGAGAAGTCATGAGGATTAATAAACACTTAGGAAGCACTGTTGTCACTGAGAGCTTAAAAACAATAATACCATTAATAATCCAGATTCATGTCTCATATAACTCCATCAACCTGTTATCAAGATGAATTGTGATCTATTGGCAAGAGATTCATACTAAAGGATCTTATACTTTGGAAAAGATGGTAATTATAAGTTACTAATGATTGTTTCTATTATTTTATAATTACTAATTGCTGGAGTATGACAGTGCTATATAAGAAACTAGAGAGGAAAGACAGCTTCTGGAGGTAGAGAAGGCAGTCTAGAATTTTAAATTTCATTGGGATTGGGTAGGTTCTTTGCTCTGTAGAACCTGTACCTTGGGCGAACAAGGAAGGGTATTGCACTGATGACATTACTTGTCTCTGTTACAAATCAGTAAAGGATCTTCCCCCAAAGTCATTGCTGGAATGACAGTGAAACCATCGTTATTAACTGTATATGCACAGCCTTAGTGGTCTGGCTTCTAAGGTGAGTGAGGACACAAAGCATAGGAATAGGAAAGGTCAAATGTTATCTTTAGCATCTTACAGGTGGTACTAAGTGATTAGGGCAGGCATCCGTAGCCAAAGGTAGTAGCTAGAAAGAGAGTCACACTAAGAGAGTAGCTATTTTGTTTTATTGGCACTTCTCCAAAACCAGGATTTTCCTTTTATCTGCCTTGTAGATGGAATTTAAGAAACTTTTATTCTGCCAAAAATGTATTCAGTTATTTATTTCAACAAATAGCCATACAGCAGTATGACTGGACAATCACAAAGCAGATGTGTGCAGACATGAGGCTTTTTTTTCCCCTACACATATTCATTGTTTGTCTGTCCAGAGCCAATAATATATTCTATCCCATTGCAAAGGAGTCAATCTCATTCAATCATTTCTAAAATTTAGTCTTTCTTCAGTAACTATTAAATCAAATTCACCAGCTTCCTTCCCCTTCCCATGAGATTTTCTTCTCCCCCTGGTCTGGTTTCAACTTTCACATAGCTCAGACATATCCAATATCCAAAGAGGTCAGTAGGCATGTGAGGAATGTTTCTTTTTTCAGAGTTTGGTGCAGGTTGGTACAGTTGCTGATTACATAGCTAATTCAACTTCAGATAATCTCTGTTGGTTTGAGCAGGACCAGATGGGTTCATTTATGTAACACATTAGGTGATCAAAGGATACGTATATGAGTTCCCCATGCTGCCTTTTGGTGTAGATGCTTCTTTATATGTACACCAACCACCCTCACCACATAACTTGACCCAACCTACAGCCATTCTCTGAGATTCCCTTTCCCTGCCAGAATGCTGGCTTGTAAACCAAGTCACCTTCTGGGTCTTACTCAAGAAATCCCCTTTACTCCACTAAAGACTGAAAGTAATTTTAACCCTCTCTCCAACTTGCTATGCTATTTTTCTATTTCTCTTCTCCCTTTATGCTCCAGAATCCCAAGATCCTCAGGATCAACAATAGAGATGGGTGGTTTGTCATCTGTTCATTTAGTCATCAGACATTTATTGGACACATATATTCCAGACACTATTCTAGGGAGTGCTAGAATATACCTGTTTCTAAGAAGGGATCTGATTTTAGTAATTTGTAATTCAGGGTGAATATTGGACTGTATTTTTCCACTCTTTTATAGAACGTTTTCAACTAAAACCTAAGCTCTAATGGTAGAATGGAAGGCTGACTCTAATTAAAATCATGATGGAGGAGAAAACAGACAAGGGAACAGTTTGGAAAGTGCACTGAAAGTGGCAAGACTAGCTAGTTGTTTACCAAACTATTTTCTCCCCATATATGCAACTAGAATACATTTCCAACCTCCCTTACAATTAGGTGAGGCTTGTGACTGAATAATGACCAATAGAATGTGGGCAGAAAAGATGGGGGCCACTTCCAGGCCTGGCCTGTAAAACCCTACATGCAGAACTCTCTTTCCCTGGCTACTGACTGAGTGGATAGGACCATGGAACTGAAGAAGCCACAGACAAAAG